TGTTGCTGCTGCTGCTGCTGCTGCTGCTGCTGCATGCATGTGCTGTGCAGCGAGCAGCAGGATCGAGGGGGATCGTCTCCTCCCCTGTCAACTCCCACCATTACTGTTTGTGTGCAATGAGCCCTCGGGCCTTTTGCTGCTCGATTTGCTTCTATTGCTTCTCGGTAGGCCACGGAGCAGTACTCCTGGGATACTGCAGCAGCAGCAGCAGCAGCAGCAGCAGCACCAGTAACAGCAGCAGCAGCAGCGCATAGAGCAGCTTACGCTGCAGCAGCAACACTTCGGGATTTAATTTAGGGCTCTCTTGCCTTCATCGTCCCAGGGCGAAAAACCACTAGCAGAGCAGCAGCACGGCTCCTGCAGCAGCAGCAGCAGAAGCAGCAGCAACAACATCAGCAGCACCAGCAACAGCAGCACAGCAAACCTGCTGCGGGGAACCAGTGCAGCAGCCCACTGTTGGGCAATATTTCGATCACTAGAAGCAGTAGCAGAAGCAGCAGCAGCAGCAGCAGGAACAGCAGCATTTGAGGGCTGGTGGTAGAACGCAACTTGGAGAGCAACGCCGGCAGCAGCAGCAACAGGAGCAGCAAAGGGTGAAGCAGTCCCCCTACAACTTTAGGATGCCACGAGGTGAGCAGCAGCAGCAGCAGCAGCAGCAGTAGCGGCAGCAGTAGCAGTAACTACCCCTGTAGCACTGCTGGCACCAGCAGGTGCAGCAGCAGCAGCAGTAGCAGGAGCAGTAGCAGCAGTGGCAGCAGCGCCAGCAGCAGCAGCAGCAGCAGCAGCAGCAGCGTGCAGAGTACATTGAAGCATCTCTTGGGTGCAGCAGCGGCTTCTGGCCCGGAGTTTGAGTGGCTAGCTGGGCTAGCTAGCCAGCTAGCTGCTGCTGGGGGGCCTCTGTATTCATTTGCTGCTGCGCTGCGCCTGGGATCGGGCGATCCCGGAGTTGGGATCGTCTCCTCCCTGCGAAACACTCAGCAGGCAAAGCTGCCACTCCCCACACTAGATCCCATCGACCCCACCGATCCCATCGATCCCATCGATCGATCCCATCGATCCCATCGATCGGTCCCATCGATCCCATCAATCCCATCGATCCCAGAGTTTGAAACGACTTCGTGTTTGAGTGCTTATTCTAAAGAACAGCAACTACCGCTTCACCCCCCCGATCCCACACGATCCCACACGATCCCACACGATCCCACAAGACCCCACAAAACCCCACACGATCCCAGACGATCCCGCACGATCCCACGCTGGTCTTTGGCAGATCCGGATGAAGATAAAGATAAAGCCAAAGTGCTGGTGTTTGGGATTTCTTTGAAGGCCGGAAGAGCAGTTTAAAAGTGCAGCAGAAGAAATGGCATTTAAATTAAACTAAATGGCATTTAAAATGAATTAAATGGCATTTAAATTGCATTAAATGGCATTTAAAATCCAAAAATGGCATTTTAAATGAAATAATTCAAAGTTTTTGCAAACTCCAAAAGAACTAACCACTGCAGCGCCGCCCGCATGGCCTCGCCGCTGAAAACTGCTGCGTACATGGCCTGGGCCGAAGTCTGGGCCGCCATCTTCGAGCCCCGCCTAAACCCTAAACCCTAAACCCTAAACCCTAAACCCTAAACCCTAAACCCTAAACCGTAGGCGCTGCGCCCCAGGACCCAGTGCGCGCTGCTCGTCGGCTCGTCGCCGCTGCAGCGGAACGGACGCGGCTGAAGCCCCGAAGTCAAACTTGAATTTTAAATGAAATCAAACAAAAACATTCTTGTCATTTAGGGTTTAGGGTTTAGGGTTTAGGGTTTCAGAGGCTCGGCCTCCGCAATGCCCTTCCCGGGGCTCGAGTGACCTCGGCGGCGAAGCCCGCATGCACTGGCCGCCGCTGCGGGACTTCCCGGGCAACAAATGCATTAAAATGCATTAAATAAAAGCAATTTTAATTTAAAATTAATTTTAAATTCGAAAATAAAAGAAGAAAAGCAAAACAAATGCAAGCACGAGCAACAACAGCTCGCCTGCAGCCGCGCGCGAGCAGCGAGCGAACCAGGCGTTCTAGTTCTGTCCAGCGGCGAAAATTACTGAAACTCGCGATATATGGCCCCAAAATTTGACCTATTTTCGCAAATTTAATCAAATAATATAATTAAAAGACAATTAGATTTCATTGATTGCCTTCTTCAGCTCTAAAATGGCCTTCTCAGGCTCAATTGCCACACCTCCCCGTGTGCTGTCCCCTCTTCTGCCTCCCAAGGCATCACAGCAAACTGCTGGGCTTCTGCAGCAGGGGGCCCCTCCCCTTTAGGGGGCCCCCCCACCTGCGGGGGCCCCTTCCATTTAGGGGGCCCCTCCTCCAATTCAGTGGGGCCCTCTTCTTCAGGGGGCCTCTCCCCTTCAGGGGGCCCTTCCGCTTCAGGGGACCCCTCCTCTTTAGGGGCCCCCTCCTCTTCAGGGGGTCCCTCCTCTTTAGGGGGCCCCTCCTCTTGAAGGGGCCCCTCCTCTTGAGGGGCCCCCTCAGGCCATGATGGTCCCGAGGGGCCCCCGGACCCCGTTTGGCGGGGGGCCCCGGGGGCCTCGGGGGGCCCCCCCGTGAGAGCCAGAGCTGCTTCGAGTGTCTTTGGAGCTGCTGCTGCAGCGCAGCGGAGGCTGCATGCAGGCGTGGGGTGTACGTACAGCTGGAAGAAGCTGCTGCTGAGGGGGGGGCTGGGATCGTCTTGGAAGCAGCAAAAGCGATCCCAGAAGTCCTCAGCAAAAACATCAACAGCAACAAAAGAAGAAGCACACACAAAGCCCAGCCGCCTGCTGTGGCTCACGAGGCAGCAGCAGCAAGGGTTTTGCTGCAGCACTTGCTGCAGCAAAAGCGCCAGCCGCCAGTTCAAGTCAAAGTCGTAAAGCACTGCAAACACCCGCCCCACAAGCTGCTGCAGCAGGCCGTGCCCCCTAAACAGGCCTATAGCAGCAGCAGCAGCAGCAGCAGCAGCAGCGATAGGGGCGAGCAGCGGTGGCAGCAGCAGTAGCGGGGAGCCACCGGAAGCAGCCACTCCTCCATAGCTAATTATCTAGTTTTGGCTGTTAGTCGCAGCACCAATTGCTGCAGCTGCTGCTGCAGCAGCAGACGCAGCAGTAGCAGCACATGAAGCAGTAGCAGTAGCTCATGCAGTAGGAATGCAGTGCGACAGCAGCATCAGCACATGCCGCAGCCGCAGCAAAGGCAGCACATGCAGCAGCAGCAGCAGCAGCATATGCAGCAGCAGCACAAGCAGCAGCAGCAGCAGATCTGCCTTTGCTGCTGCAGGGGGGCTCCTCACCATCACAAGCCAACACAAGATCCACAGCTCCTTTAGCTCCTAGGGTTTCTAATTCTTCTTGACTCCAGCTGAACTCATCTGCTTGGGGGGCCCCCCCGGGGGGCCCCCCTAGGGGGCCCCCGCTGGAGGCCCCTGGAGGGCCCCCCTGGGGGCCCCCTAGGGCCCCCCTTGGGGGCCCCTGGTCACCCCCAGAAAGCCCCGAGCCTTCCCCATTAGCAGAATTGGGTAAAGGGTGCCCTGCACTAGGGGGCCCCTCCTGGTACCCTGTTGAGGTACCCTTTGCCAGCAGGGGGCCCCAGGGGCCCCCCTGCGTCCAGTCCAGTCGCCTTACAAAAACCTTGACAGGGGGGCCCCCTACGGGGGGCCCCTCACCTTGAACGCATGCAGCGGCAGCGGGCGACCCTGTTGGCGTCGTAGGGGCCCCATAGCCCTCAACCAGAGGGCCCCCAGGGGGGCCCCCAGAGGGGCCCCCAAGGGGGTCCCCAGGGGGCCCCGCCAAGAGGAACTCGTCTAGCTGCTGCGTTCGCCGGCACAGCTGAAGGGCCTCGAGGTCGATGTCCGTAAGGTAAACTTCAACACTAAAGTTAGGGGCCCCTTGGGGGGCCCCTTGGTTGGCCCCTTGGGGGGCCCCCTTGGGGGGCCCCTGAGGGGCCCCCAGGGGGCCACCCCGGCGCAGCAAACGCCGCAAAAGGGGCCCCATAAGGCCCACCCCGCTGCCCAACTCCAAAACCCTGAAAACAGTTTTA